AAAGGAATTGAAAACAGAAAATGCATTTGAATATGAAAAAAATATGTACTGGATAGAGAGGAACCTGAAGAGAGAGACAGCAACCATGTTTTCAGGCCACCACATGTAAGGGGAATCAACCAAGATGTTCCTAAATATACCAGCCCAACCATAACCAAGCATCTGCAAAACAATGAATATATTACTATACTCATATCAATTGCAACTGAAAATTTTAGTTTGTCCAAACTCTCATATTAATACACCAAATGAAGAATGAATAACAAATTCATTTAATTATCAACACCATAAAGCCCAATTGAAAAAATTGTTCTGCGAAGAGCTACTCTTGATACAATGGGATAGCAAATTTCGGTTTGAATTTCTGTACTTTACTGTTCATTTAGTACGTTTTAATTTGCTTCCAATTTTCAATTTGGTCATTTTTTTTATTGTAAAAAAAGTCAACCTGTGTGGTTTGAGCCAACAAAAGAGCGGCTATGGGATGCAATTGACGCTGATAGAATGCCCTGACGATGGTGACAATGGAGATGGCGTAAACCCCCGAGTAGCCGCACGTGGCAAAAATACTGATGAGCACGTGCTCTTTTGAGGTTGATTGGGCCCGGGTTGAGGGAGAAAGACCAACCCCGAGTGAAGGGCACCGTTATGTCGGCCGCCGGCAGCACCCTCGCCATGAACCGCCCAATCGGGAGGCTCACGATCTGCACCACAACAGGGTACACGGACAGGCTGTTCTGCCGGAAGCTGAAGAACTGGTTTATGTAGGCCAGCAACACGCACGCCATGATTCCGATGACCCATGTTCGGAACGTGAGGGCCGGCAGGGATGGGTCGTCGTCCGGCGACACCGTCAGCCTCACCTGCTCTATCGGGCAGTCATTTCGGTCATCCGCACCTGCACAACCATTATTATTATTATTATTATTATTATTATTATTATTATTTTGCAAAACGTGACAATTGAATAAATAATGTACTAAATTTTGACGATAACAAAATAAAATTAATAAATACCATCAATTTCAAGACCAGTTTGAAGGGTGTTCTGCACCGGTAACTCGTTGCCGTCGACGATTGGCTCAGTGTCGATTCCGGCCATCTTTATATATTCACTAGCTAATAAGCAGTGGAGTGTAATATATGTTTGGGGTCTATAATGCTAAATTGGCGCATGTATAGGTTGTTATGAAGAATGAACTGTCATTTTTCATTCCGTTTTAGGTATAATATCTGGCATTATCATCCTACATCAAATTTTGGAATGGTAAATGTGAATGTGCTCTGGAATGTGGACCATATTCTATATTTTATGCAATTATATTAATTTACTACTCTAAATAATGTAGTCTGTGTAATTGTGGCAATATTTACGCCTTCCAGTAATCAATAATTTGACACCAAGACAATCGCATTTTCTAAATCAAATTGATTTTACCACTATACTAACAGTTTTATACAAGTTTTAAACAATTTTGGTTGGTTTTCTTATTTGTTACTGAAATGAAATGGGAAGATAGCCTATCAAATGTAGACAGATAAATTTTTTATTAGTTTATTTTTTTAATCTATGTTGGACTTATTTGTCAAGATTACTTTCGCATTCAGTCAAACCTCAAGATGGCATCATATAATGGAAATTGCATTAATGAGAGAATTTGCTCAAAAAGCAACTGTGATATTATTGCAAAAATTATTACAATAACACCGTTTGACATTTTCATTAATTTATATATTTGAATATCTTTGACTTTGGTCAGTTTCTGATTAATGCATGTAATTATTCATACATTTGAATACTTTGAGTTTGATAAGTTTCTTATAACTAGTATTAATCTTGTGCATATAGAAAAAAATATTATATATAAAATCTTAATTAAAATAAAAATTATTTAATGGTATCACATTTATAATTGGACTATTACATTAAATATTCTTGGCTGGATTGTGCCATTAACGTCATGCCTAGTTTGTATTTTTCAGCCACAACCAGCAACCCCCTATACCCTAAAAAACCGGGCAGCCCTCGACCACCACCCCAGGCGCCGTAGGGCAGCTGGCCAGCGGGCAGTGGTCATCCACTTGGAGGCCCCACCACTCCGGGCCAAAGATATCATTAGACTGCAGCGTGAAGAACAGCAGCAGTCCCAGGAACCCTATCCCTGCATCTAGTCCTGCCGCCAACACGTAGGCCCTTGTGGCCCACCACCGCTTGTGGCACCTGTACAAATACACGTTGAAGAAAACCGCAGCCACCCCCAACATCAGGTAGTTCACTGACCGAACAGGCGGCATGCTGCCGGCAACCGACAGCACGAGTGGCACATTAACGAGCCTCAGCCATTTTTTGTTCGGGTAGCGGCGGCCGAGGAGGTAGAAAGGGACAGGTGCCAGCAGGCCGAACAGGAACCACCAGTTCATTGAACCGTACACTCCTCGAGACGCAAACACGCGGAGAGGCCCGATTACGCCCCATATGATGGAGGCGTTGTAGAAGACAGCGTCCCACGGGCAGGTCCACGGGCTGCCTTCGGGCAGAAGGGACGGGTCGCATACGTGGTCGACCGTGGTTAGGAGCCACCAGGCGGTGAAGAAGCACACGGAGGATGCAACTATTGTTCCCACCAGCTGCATGCATCATGTGATGACGTAAAATGATGAGATTATTAATTGATTATGTAGAAATATTATTTACCTGACAGATGAACATGGACTTGGGCGGGATCTTCATGTAGAGGCCGAATTTGAAGTCACTGACAAAGTCGAGCGCTTGTGACATGCTTATCAAACCGTATGTCTTGAAAGTGACGTTCGCGAGAGGTCTACCCGGGTAAATGTAGCCGATAATCATCTCCGTAATCACGTTAATCCCGATTTGCTCCATAGATTTTGCCATAAATTGGAATTGGAAATTAATTAAGTCAGAAAAATTGTTACAGGCCTAAGGGAGTGTTTGAAAAGCCTGACAATTGCATTGATTTTCAAGAGAAGGAGTTCAGAAAACTCATACCATGTTTGTCGTGGCCTGTATTATGCCGATGGGTAAAGTAAAGGAAAAAGCTATAGCACAGGCCATCACAAGTCCCCACCAGGGGAGTTGGAGCTGTCCATTGAAACCGACAATGTTGAACATTGAAAGGCAAAACACGATGACCAGAAGTACGTGGAACCACCAGTCGGGCACCGTTTCATAGTTCTTTCTCATTATTCTCGTGTGCACGTCCATTTTCCCTTCCAGGTTTTCCTTTGTTTTGCTCCACAGAGACCAAATTGTTCTACATATACAAATACCATGCCTCAACTTTTGGCTAATGCTCAAGCCAACTTTAAGAATTATCATGGAAAGTTTCTTTTTACAAGTAAATGGATCATTTATATGACAATGAAAATGTGTTGAAATAAAAAGAGTAGGCCCAACAATTTGTTTTCAATATGCCTTTCAGGCCTTTTTAGTGTCGACTATTTCTACCTATGCAAGTCTACGACGTTCTGTTAGTCAAGTATTCTGGCAACTCCACTTGGAGGATGTAAAGTGCAAAATGTGTAGAAATTGGATTGTAATTCCCAATACAAAAGTAAAGAGAGAGAGAGAGAGAGAGAGACAGGGAGTACTTACTTTCCATGATAAAGTATGGCATGAGTAAAGGTAGCTGCCAAGACAGCAAAGCTAATGCCATAGACATAGGCAAAAGATATACTAAGGTACAATTTGCTGTAACCTCTATACCCAATCATGTCAAGATCAAAACTGGTCTCGTTGAGAGCACGCGTGATATTGTAGTGGTGCCCGTAGTGGTCGAACGTGCTGCTCGAAAATAACGGGAATTTCTTGGCATCGAAAAAATTGTTGTAATAAGACAACGGCAAGACAATGTACATGAATAGAAAGAAGCCGACTAGCATGTTGGCAATGGCAAAAAATGGGGTAGCTATTGGGCTGCCCGCGAAGGTGATGGTGGACCAGTCCAGGCCGAACGACCCGATTCCCATCCCGTGAAGGCCCGACCCAATTTGCTGGGGGAGTATCTTGTCCTTGTAGATTAAACAGAGGATAGAAATGGAAGAAATGGAAGGGGCTAGATAGGCAGGGACTATGTAGTACGCGAAGCTTGAAACAGTAACCACTATAAAGAATTGCAGTTGTGATAGTCCTCCCTTGGGTCTCGCTTCTTTTTCATGCAATGCTCTGCAATTTCCAGGGAAAAATCAAAGGACGGGCTTAGGAATTGAAGCAAAAACTCCTTTTAGAATTGAGATTGGGTTTCTCCTCATTTTCCTTACAAAAGTAGCTATATGTAATTATGTATACAAAAAATCTCACCTACCATAGGTATATCATGCCATGTGTAAACATAGAAAACAAACAATCAAAAAAATTAAAAAAGGGAGTAGAAGGTAGGAGATAATAAAACCTGAAGAGGGACACTAAAACCATGCTATCAGGCCACCACATGTAGGGAGAGTCCACCAGGATTTTCCTGAATATACCAGCCCATCCATATCCTAGCAACTGCCAATAAAACAAAGGAAAAAAAAAAAAGGATAAAGGAAAAACAGATTATGAACATCTTACCCACCACCCGTGTGGTGAGCTAAAAATTTTCTAAACACGAGGATTTGATATCTTCCTGGTCACTTCAATATAATTTTGAACTGAAACTCTCACACTATACAACAGTATAATATACCCAGAGTCATACTAGATTTAGCGCCAACAGCCAAGCGGCCCGACATTTAAAACACTAGTATACATATGAAATTGACCTGTGTGGTTTGTGCCAACAGCCAGGCGGCCCCCATATTCATCTTCCGGTGATAAAATGCCTTAACGATGCTGACAATCCCGACCGCATACACCCCAGAGGCCCCCGTCCCCGCAAACAGGAGAATCAAAACGTGCTCCTTGACATTAAACGGGCCGGGGTTGAGAGTGAAGGACCAGCCGGTCAACGGCACGCGGAAAGTCGTGGTGGGCAGGAATCGTTCCATGAACCTCCCAATCGGAAGGGCCACGATCTGCACGGTCAGAGCAGACAGGCCTATTGGGTTCTGGCGGTACGCGAAGAATTGGTTCACGGACGCCAGCAGGACGCACGAGGTGAGCCCTAGGAACCACGTCCGGAAAGTTAGCACCGGCAGGGTCGGGTCGTCTGTTGGCGGCACAGTTAGCCGCACCTCCTCGATCGGGTGGTACTTCTCTTCATCGCCCGCATCTGCATTTTTTACATTAGTGGTATTTATTTATTTATTATTATTATTATTTTTTTTCATTCAAAATATTAAAAATTTTAAATTAAATGATTAGTTATGTATTACACTATTACCCTCTATTTCAATGCTTGATTGAGTAACATTGTTGTCATATGAGTTCTCTACTTCACTATTTGCGCTGCCCATTTTTTTCTTTTTTTTTCTCTCTCTCTCGCTCTTGTTATCTATTATTATTATTATTATTTTGTATGTAACACGAATGGGCAATTNTATTTTGCGGGAGTGTTGGGTTTTTTGTCCGTATGCTATGCAAAGTCTCCATCAATTCGCTTTTATTTTCGCCGGAATTCAATGTGATTATACCTGACTAAGGATTAGGCTGTGACTACTTGTCCTGAGTATTTCTTCATTTTCTTCCTCGGTGAGATTTGGTTAGATATGGATCATCCTTTTTCTTCTATTATTAATTATTATGTAATGCTTCTCTCAAATTTTCATTTTGCAAGCGCTATGTAGATTGTACAAAAGACAAAACCTAGTCTAAACAGCATAAATTATGGAGAAAGGGTCTCATGACTATGAAGTGGGTTGAATTATCCAAAATGATTTTACATCATGTCCATTCGATGGACCGTTTACTTCTAAGAGAAAATTTTACAAATGTTATACTAATTTCACCAACTTAAACAAGTGGTGGGTTACATTAGTATATCATTAGATCAATTATCTTAATATTTTAATTAAAAAAAAACAAACTTTGTCTCATCTAAACTATCACGGTTTAGCACATCACCATATAACCTTTTGTTTTTACAAACCACCATCTAAATTATACGGGTTTGTTAAACGGATCGAGCGGTCAAGGTCAAACGGGTCGAGCAGCTCCTCCCCGACGAGGCCCGCCACGGAACCTACCACGAGCCTGACGTGCAGAATGAAGCACGCCTTCATGTGTGTGCAACTCTCGCCAGACGCGTCAGTTGTCGCTGCAAACAGGAGACGGCGGTGGAGGCCGCTGGCGACTCTAGTGGCGTAGTCGAGCATATCTCCGACAACCATGAAGAAGGACAAGAGTCAGCTTCCCAGCGTATACGAATGCTTCGTTGAGTGTAGATAGGGATGGATGAATGCATATTATCGGACCATGTATGTGTCGACGGCCGCACTACAACATCGAAGCTCTCTGTCGTCGGTCTATTGCGTGGGCAAGCGACAACTGCACCTGGAGAGCGGTGGTCTGCTTCATTTTTATTTTTTTATTTTTTTATTTTTATTTTTGAAACCAAC